GTTCCCCTATATGGTCTTTCTCACTCACATGTAGCTGAGTTTGCATTGGATGTTGGCTTGTCAGTAGTTGCTGTAAGAGTTCATGTTGTACATTACAGAGCATTGTATTTTAAACATTGAAGTTTGAAATATACTATTTTATATATATTTTAATTTGAAGTTCGAGTTATTTTATTGCCACCCACAGGCCTTCCACACGCCCATTTACATATAACGCTTTGAAACAACTTTAAAAAGTGAGCAATGTCAGTGTTGTGATAATAGAGAATTTTCGTTATAAGTTGTTTCAAAAACTTATACGTATACTTATAGTTTAAAGGGTCTTGTCGAACTAAAATCAATTCAAATTGATTTTCATAATCTGTACCAAGTGGGGCATAACTATTCCCGATATAGTCAAGCTTCATCATCAACTAGGGACTGCGAATACAATGTCCTTTGCTAGTGTCAATTATGAACACGATAAACTAAATTCTAGTTGACGGGTCCTTGTAGTGTACGATAAACAAGACCCTTTAAAGTGAATCACTACACGAACGAGTCGATCATTTCAAAGTTCTCATGAAATTATAAGGTCAATTTTTAAGTTTTTACGTATAAAAGGGCCTTTATACGCTGATTATAAACTTACAGAGTTGGATCTCGGCATAGTATATGTGTGGACCTACTGACCAGAATGGCTTATTAAAATTAATCGGCTGAATAGGCATAGTATCCAATCAAATAGCTCGACTCATTCATTAGCTGAACTAATTCTCCCTTCGTTATTTCTACAAGGTGATTCAAAACGAACTTTTTGATTTGCTTGTTGTCAAGATATAATAAGTAGGGCAAAATCCAGAAAAAGAAGATCAAAAATACTCCAATGGAGTATAAAATTGTCACCAGGATTCCGGAATGAGACGAATGTTAACTCGTGAAATCTCGGTAGGTAAAGTAGGTCAGAAAATCCGGATTAATCCGAACAAGGTTCGGGAATTTCCGTCATAAGAAGTAGGTCAAAAATACTCCAATGGAGTATAAAATTGTCACCAGGATTCCGAAATACGACGAATCGAATCGGCAAACTTCGGTACAATAATGAAGTGCATAAAAATCGTGAAACAGGTGTCAGGGGCTTCCCTCATCTTTCCATAAATGGTTCTAAAAGCCTTATATGGATCTATCACGTGACATTCAAAATGACGTTCCTATATGGTTCTATGGGCCTTATATGGATCTTTCGAACACGTGACCAAATCAAAATCAAAATCAAAATTTTACCTTGACCATTGGATGGGATTTCATAGAAAATATCAAAGAAAACATATTCTCGTGATCCTTAAATCACTTAAATTCGATCATTTTATCTTCACCCCTTGATGGAATTTTATGAAAGAAGTTATGAAAACACATCATCATGTAAGGGTTTTCACCTAAATTAGCTCGTTTTATCTTGACCCTTCAATTGAATTTCATTGGAAAATGTTTCATGAAAAATATCATGTTATGATTTGTATTTAAATAAGACCGTTTCATTTAAATACTTGCTGGACAATATTTCATTAAAAAACGCACTTTAAAAATATTTCAGGATTTGCCTTAATTTATCAATGTAATGTAAGTATTAGATTGACTCTCAAATAGGGTTCTATTTTAACTTTTTTATTGAAATTAATACTAGGCAGGACTCACTCTCTAAATAGCTAATAAAAATTCAACCCTTGGATGTGATTTCGTTGAAAAAAAAATATGACAAGTCCAGAATCAAATGATTTGTCCAGAACCTCTTAAGATCCTGTTAATTGTTTTTGCTCCTTTCTACCAATTCTTGCGAATACAATTAAATGTCTATCCGAACATTGTTGGAACAAAATAGCATATACAACATGTTTTTAGACCTCTCAATATTATAGTTTTACAAAGGAATTTCTGGTTGATCTTAAAAAAGTATTCAAAAAATTAAAACAAAATCCCCCAAAAATAGATAAAAATCAAGACAAACCTTTCATTTCATTAACAAGATACTTTTTTTAAAATCAACCAACATTTCCTTTGTACAATTACAATATTGAGAGACCTAAACATGTTGTGTTTATGTTGTTTTGTTCCAATGAGGTTCGGAAAGATGTTTCATTTCACTCTGGAAACATGATACCAAAACAAATGTTTGATGTGTTTACAAAGGAAAACCGGTCGTAACACAAAAATTAAAATTGTGCCACAGAGCCAAAAATGTGCCCAATATTAAGGGGAAAACGTGCTAAATTCAAATCCGACTTCTTGGTCTATGTATGCAAGGACAAATTGTTAAGATAGAAGCCATGGCTCATTTGAAAGGTCTCTTTGTGCTTTTTAAGATAAACAAAAAATCAAAATACCGAAAAATCTGTAATAAGACCCATTTTCCTTTGGCCTGGCTCATATATTTTTCAAATTATATTGTCAAGAGAAACGTGTGTTCCCCATATCGATACCACTCCTTTAGCATATTGACGGAAGGAGGGTATTCATCCCGGACTTGGATATTAAACGGATTCAACACCTTTATTTTTACAACAATACATATAATTCAAACTGACAACATCAAGACTTGACGATATGAGCAGTTTTTATTAATCGAAGTGTAAATTTGATGTATAACAATAATTTATCATGAAAACCCTTAAGGTTGCCCAGCATACCCATGATAACGGTTACTAATAGTATTTTTTGTCAATACTAAGTCTGTTGTCTGGGAATTTGAATAGGATAAGGTCAGATATGTTTTCCTTAGGTTGTGCAAGTTTCATGAAGAAAAAAGCAAGATAACAAGTTATTACAAAATTAGCAATACTTATTGAACGCCCTGTACATATTAACTGTACGCCGTATTTTTGAAGCTGTGCATTGGCAATTGCTAGGTGTGTAACAGTAAGCACATGACGTTGAGCAACCGATTATGTTAACCCTAATGTCTGAAACCTTTTTTCACGTGACTAAAGTGCAAGCCGGTGTGCGATTTGTTATTACTTGTCTCGTTCCAATTATGTTCTTGGTATTGTTGTAAACCCTATTCAAATAAATCTTCGGAAAAGCAGTTCACTCTTTAATGTAGGTCAATGAAGGTCAAATTAGGGTCAACGAGGTGTACATTTCTGACATTTTGAGATAAAAATTTTTGTTGGTTCTAAGAATACTTCGCTTCATAAAATAATAATATGTTATCTTTCAAATAAAAGTAAAATCAAGTTCAACGCTTTTCTATAACTGAACATACTAGTATTCTCTTTCAAAGATATAGCGGGTATTGCGAAATCCCATTGTAAACCAATGTAACGCGAAATTGAATGATCAACAATTTCAAGTTCAACTTTTTTCTTTAGTATTCATATTTCAAGATGTCCAACAAAAAGAAGAATTAGTGATTTAGTGAGCAAATATTGATATCTTTACAGTTTGCCACCAAGCGCAAGCGTATATTATTACAGCGTTCGTACACACCTGGAAATGTCAGGGAAATTGATTTATTTTTCCAGGTGCTGGAAATGTCAGGGAATTTTAAAATTGGGTCAAAAGAGCCAAAGATGTCAGGGAATTTGGAAACTGTAGATATGTCAGGGAAATGTCAGGCAATTTTGTATCAGTGTTGAAAAAATAATGTTCAAACAAAGATATTTTAGAGCTATGACAGGATATCAATGAAATCCAAAATCTAACATAAATTGAAATATATTGTTCAATATACAATTATGCTTTTCCATGTAGTACGCTTGTCTCAGGCCATTCAAAGTTAATTACCGGTACATGTTTCATGTTTTGTTGAGGGGTTTATCTTAGGAGGGTGGGAGGTGAAACACAAAAAAATTCGGGGAACTCTTTACGGTATAAAATTGTATTTATATTGAGAAGCTGTCCGTTCGACAGTCCAGTCGTTTGTCAGTCTATTCATCTGTCCATCTGACAGGACGATAACTCAAATATCAGTTCACAGATTTGGTTCAAATTTTATATACAGATGCTAAGGTTATATAGAGCCTCTGCTCAAGAATACACTTTTCATGAAAAAAATGAGTTTTAATAGTTTTTGGATTTGGTCCAAATTTAATGGAAAGAGGAGGAAATAACCCAGGAAAGAAGAACCTTTTTTACTTCTGCTCAAATGTTATATGGGGCTGCCATAGGGACAAAGGACATCTGCTCACGAAGAAATATTCAAAATGGTCTCTGAATTCAAAATGGCCACCATTTTTAATGAAATTTATGATAATTTAAAGAAATATGTTTCCTGATAACACAAATACCGATTATTTGGTTTGGTATCATAGGCCTTGCCTTATAGTGATGCTACTAGAACAGGAATTTGTAATATGGTATCATGTTTTGGTGCAGTTTTCCCAAAAGGGAGAAGACAATAGTAATGTCAGGTTATTGCTATTATATAATGTTCACAATGATCAGTATTTGATAAAATATGTGTCATTAGGTGGGAATTGCCTCTCAGGGGGTGTTCTTAATATTTTTCTAGTATGATTTTAGATCATAATTTTAAGTGTCAGTTGCCATTTGGATTAATTACATTACAAAACATTAATAAATTATAGTTTGAAATGCTTAGAATGCATCTATACAATGTAAATTTTAAAAAACTTTTCGGGGGTGAACCCTCGTACCCCCCCCCCTTTCCTTCACTCACGGTGGTGCAAACCCCACAACTTGCACCCCATTAACCTTTTCTGGTTACACCCCTGTCCATGTATGATTACCTTTGGCCTTATGCGTATAAATTTGTGAATAAGATGGCCTGTAGAAGTGATGTTAAGTCATGAAAAATGATACTAATGGATAAACCCAAAATGTTTCATAATACTGTAAGTCCCGTCTTTTTGATAATACAGTTGTTTGAGCCTTTTTAGGAGGCCGTGCAGGCAAAACAAGATCTGAAATTTTCTTTTTTTGTCTGGAATTGTCAGGGAATTTCATTTTGAAAAAGGTGTACGAGCCCTGTATTAACGATTGAAGATTGTGTTAAGTGTACTCGTTTATTGCTAAAAGTGTACAAAATAACAATTTAAAGGGCTTCTGCTGGAACTTCACAGCAACAGATGCCTGGTGTAGCATTGAATTCCATCTGTTCACCTGCCATGTTGACTGGGCAACAGCTTAGTCTGTTAACACCGGATGGGCTTGATTCTCCCTTTCCTTGTCCAGCTACAATTTCGTATTGTATGGGGTCATCGGCAACAGCATTGAACCAGGTTCCGGCACGGCAACAATCCCCTGATTATTCAAAAATGCATTGTTATTCAAATGAAGAAAAACTAATAATATCAGCACTAAGATTTTATAGTTCATTTTCGCAATGACTTGTTTATTGTGTTAACAAAGACAGGTCAACATGAGCATACTTTTAACAAAAACTTTAATCTAAATCATGGTAACAAGATCTTAATATTTTTACATACCAAGTCCAGAGTCGTCACATGGTGGATCGGTAAAATCGTTATCGCAGACAGCCTCCATGCAATCCATGACATTGTAAATTGTGTCGCATGTTTGATTTTCGGCGTTATAGACACTTCCTCCCATACAGTTCAAGGTATCGTAACCAGTTCTGTAAACAAAAATGGGTTTTGGATGAGACAAATTATTTCTTAGTATTTCTTTTAATTTTGCTGTAAATGATACTCATCATCTTTACCCTTGAATATGCAATGACATTATACTTAGTATTTAATCGTCAGATCTAATGCATATTGTTAAAAAAACTAAACATGTTCAACTAAAACCGAATCCTTTGTCTGTTTTCTTCCTTTCAGCTTTAGTTTTCTTTTCGAATTTAGGTGTGCACTATTCTTACCTGTTGGCCCAACATTGGAGGAATGAACAACATGGATCATCTGGGTTTGCAAAGAAGAAACTTTCGGGATCTTCGGCACAAATTGCATCCTCTACAACTGAAGGTAAAATGGACAAGTTACTAGAAATATATCCATTCTATTTAATTTCCCGAAATGTCATGTTGGTCTCTACTTTGATTTGCCATCATATTGTACTAATTACCATAAATCATTGTGTATCTTCGAATGTATATGCTCTACTGCGAATATAAATACACTTGTTGTATATGTCTCATCATGTAGAATCTATTTTTGGTTATTTTGATAAAAATTAAATTAGCAACTTTTACAATTTGTTATGGCTGAAAATGAATTTCATGAGACACGTAAAACTATAAAATATGTATTTTATTTTCTCAATATGAACTAAAATCACACTTATATTGATTTGTTATGCGTTATATCATATCTAATATTTGGGAACCATTCTAATGAGGTCAGAGCTTGATACTGCCTGCATGTTGATGAACAAAGTTCCACTATAATAAAAAGGTTAACTTTAATTTAAAGGTGATTATACTCAACGTACACTCATATTCGCAGCAACAGTCTTCCAATACAAAGATCTGTCCGAATGGGCAGAATGATTCAAGTTCGATATCGACGTCGGATCCTACGTAGTAGCCACCTTCTGAGGGTCCAGCAGTGAAGACTGGTTCATACCCATTGATTCCTTGGTCTGGGTTTTGTCCAACACAGCATGTGGTGCCTGAAGGCTGTGCGTCTGCGCAAGGTGCACCTGTTCTTTTGGGAACTATTATAAGAAGAGAGAAATATAATTTATATTGTACATCGCTGTCGAAGAATTATTAATGAATAATTGTAACGCATAAAATACGCTCTAGCGTAACCAGGATGAAGTAGACTATACGTTTGCCTCATCGCTTTTTAAAATCTTTTGAATAAGAATCCTCTATCGATGATCAGTTGAAAATCCATCGTATAACTTTTATCAATTTATCAATTTTTAATCTTGAATCATTATTTTTGATTCAATTCGGCACAATATCATCACGTATGTGTTATCACAGAATTCTTCTATTGCCGTCATAGAACGAAGTTCATACGCTAATGGTGTTTTCATCTTTACGTTCATATTTCCACGAAAAATCTAAGTTCGTATTTCATACTTAGTTACATAGCCTATGGTTTAATATCTGAATAATGAAATTAGTGTTGTAGCGTAGACAGGATAAGGCCGTCGAGAAATATATTTTGCACCTCGTCGCTTTTTCCTTCTTGGCCACTGATATGTACAGCAATGCGCATAAACATAAGTGGATGTTAGACTATTATTTACAAGCGAAATTCCTCTATTAATCAACAAATTATGTAACCTACCGACACAAGTTGTTGGGTCACAGTCTGGAACGTATTTGGGATCATCACATACTTTCAGGTCATTGTTCCACACGGTTCCTCCCATGCATGCACCCTGGAAACCTGTCTTATTCAGCCTTGCAGCATCGCAAACGACGAAAGCACAACAATCCAAACCATTATCGATACCGGGAAGATAACCATTTTCGTCGACACACACCTCTAAGAAATAAATTAACATAAATATTACATAGAGAACGGTACCATTGTAACGGAATTAACGTAAAAATGGGGAGACTATACAGACTCTTTAAGACTGCTCTCATTTATTTTCACGTCATAATCAATTTCAATAAAATTCGAATAAAGTACATACATTGACCATCATTACTCCAAAGTAACCATGGTGATAAAGATATGTAGGCGTAATGCATCAGTTATGTGACTTTGTCGTAAAATGTCCCTTTGTTCTCTCCTCACATATTCGGCTTCCAAAAAAGATGTTTTTAACAATCGTTTCACCCGTTGACATTTTACTGCCATTTCGAATAGTTAGCTTAATTGATGGCTATATTAAGACAAAATTGCCAATTTGTTCTCAAAAATAGTACCTAAGATCAACATGATATAAAAATAGTAGAGGTGTGTTAGCACGTGTAACACAATGGGAGAGACCAAAAGTAACACAAAAAGTGAGGAGAGTCTAAAAAGTTGTATACATAATAGCCAAAATACTTTTCCAAATTATGACCTCATACACAAATGAACAATATGCATTATCCCCTTTGTCTCCATGCTCAAGAATCAAGTTTACAGTCAAAACAACAAGACCACAGTTTTAACCTCTTGAATACCAGCCTCTAAAAAGGGTTTGAAACCAGAGCATTTTTCATTTTCTGCTATTTTTCTGGATATTTACATCTAAAAACACAATGTTCGATATTTGATTTCATAAGAATAGTAAACATAGACCCATTACATACATTCTAAAACCTAATTTGTGAAGATTGGATAAAAAATGCAAAAGTAAGAGCAGTTTTCGTGAAAAATTCTGTGACAGATATATCTGTCGCTCTGGGTTCCAAATGGATTTCATTTATGACAGATATATCCGTCATTCTGGGTATTCAAGAGGTTAAGAAACGATATACAATACTGCTGACATCGAAAAGAGACACTGGAACTCTTATATAAAATACAAGTCCGTGTGGATTAGAGCGAGATAAAATCAAGATATTGTATTATGATGCACATTATACTAATGTTCCCCAAATGTTAAATCTTACTGCACTTCTAATCTCATGTATTTAGCTGAAAACTTTTTTAAAAAAGAATCTACTACTCCTTACCTGGATTTTCGATGGTAATTGGTGGGCCACTGGCCAATGCTGATGCGAAGAGAAGAACCAATGGCAACATGATCTGGAAATATTTTATTCAACTTGTAACATCAATAGCATTGTAGTATCCAACATGGAATATCGTCGATATTTTACAAATAATTCATACTATTGAGGTGATTGCCTGTTAATCTTTCAATTATTCTAACAAGGTATATTCCCGAAGCCCAGGGTAATTGTACAATAACGTCATTTCTGCGGGCAGTATAGTAAAATATTGGACCGTGGGCCCGTGGGCCGAAGGCCAAAGGTCCAATATTTCACTATATTGCCCTTTTAAATGACGTTATTAGTATTACTACCACCGTTAATGACCAGGACTAAAACAGCAAGAAAATCTTACGCATTAAACGATATCTAATTGCCGGTCATTAATTGCATTCTTCACTGGCAATATTGACCACCACTATGACGTCACATATTGCTCAGGTCGATATAATAAACTGAATGCCTTCTAAACTAGCACTAAAACCCCTAGAACTGGCCCGGCAAGGTGGTAATAATACACATTGCGGATTCATTGAAAGTGCAACAGGTATTCGACGTTAATAGTTTATTGTTTTATTATTCACTGTTATATTCACCACTCTTGTATACGCCTCTCGAATACGCCTTTTTCCGACGTCACAGGCATGGCTGTTGAATAAGTATTTTTATTTTTATGTCACGGTTAATGTGGAGACCAACAAGAGAGTGGGGAATATGACAGCGATATAATACTATACAAATACAGTTGGGGACATAAATAAATGACAGGTGGATTTGCTGAAGTGAGGATTTCCCATGTTAAAAATAAGAGAATTTACAAGAGGCCATAAATCAGTGGATGAGATTATACAAAATGTAAAATATACAAATTTTAAGGGATATGTATCTAGACAATATTGGAAATTATGGGCTTTCAGACCACCATAATTAGGAAATGGTGATCGAAAATCGACCTGTCATTTATTTTTGTCCCCAACTGTATGTAATTCTACTGAGGTGAATACCTGTGCATACTTCCAAAAAGCCCGGAAGGCTAATAGAATACCATATTTTGAAAGTGTCACAGGTATTCACAGAAAATAGAATAAAATATTTGTTTTATTATTCACTGTTATATTCCTCACTCGCATTAATGGTATATCAAACTATAGATATCTCATAGCAATCATATACTACACTCCCTGGTATATTTGAAATTAAATTATACTGGACTAATTCGAACTGGTTGATATCAGTTAATATTCATTTTAGAATGTGTTTCACACAACAAAGCTGATTTACTTTATATAATGTAATGTACAGTTGAGTAGCACATAATGTGTTTTTGTTATACATACTAAAAGACATATAGCATTACGCACTTTGAAATAGTGCATACACTCCCCTCCATAAGTTTGGCAACCTTTTTTCCCCCATTGAACTACGTGTTAAAGCCTCTTTACCTTTGAATTTTTATTTACTTAACCTGCGATGAAAATACTTATACTATTGATGGAAACTTAATTTGACTTTAATTCCAATACCTCCAAATTTTCTCAATTTTTTTCCTCAATTACAATAGGTCGAAAATTGATGATGAATTTGATGAATTTTTGAAAATCGACATTCCCATGTAATCCAATGGGAAATAGTAGGTTTGCCGCAAGTCATATGACAGAATATCCATCCATCCGAATCCTTGCAAAAAATACAATTTAGGCAGGTAATTGAATTTGCTAACTTTATTTAACAAAAAATTGATATGTTCCTTCAGGTTCAACAAAGTTATAGGGCTTTAAAGTCAAAATTGTTTTTCAAAAAACCTCTCCCATTGAAATAACACAAGAGGCGAAAAATTATTTTCAAAAATGACTTTGAAGCGCTGTAACTTTAATATTCATCAAACAAACTAAACACTTAGTGTTCAAAAAGGTTAGACAATTCAATTTTCTATATAAAAATATTTTTTGCTGAATCTTTTACTGAAAAGATATCCTGATTTCTGATTTGCCCCGAACCCTCAATTTCCCATTGGATTACATGGGAATGACGATTTTCAAAAATTCATCAAATCTATCATCAATTTTCGACCTATTGTAATTGAGGAAAAAAATTGAGAAAATTTGGAGCTATTGGAAATAAAGTCAAGTTACGTTTCCATCAATATTATACGTTAATATATCGCCGGTTAAGTAAATAAAAATTCAAACGTAAAGAGGCTTTAACACGTAGTTCAATGGAGAAAAAAGGTTGCCAAACTTATGGAGGGTAGTGTAAGTGTATTGTACTATATTATACTGAAATATGTTTTTATAGCATCATGCACAGTTGAATAATGCATGTGTTTTTGTTATACGAGGGGCGTTTGAAAAGTTCGTTTCTTTTTGCTCTAATTTTTTTTACAGATATATTTATGAAATTCAGCATATGTGCCATATACATATATCTTGCGTTTACATCAATATAAATATAATTCCTCATATTACACTCGACGACATATTATATAGCATTATGCACAATTGAATAATGCATGTCTCTGTAATATGTTACACTAAAATAAATTTTGTATAGCATTACGTAACGTTAAACGGCGCTTATGTCTTTTGTAATGTATAACACAACAATAGTTTACTACAGCTGACCATTATAAAATATCTAATGAAGTTTGAATAAGGTTCTGAATATGATTCCAAATGATTTTACTTACCGTGTCTTGAATGATTCTGTTGAATGGAAAGCAAGACAAAAATCTTACCTTTTATATGTAATATATACACCCTTGGGAAATAATTTATGTACTCAAGGCCCATTAAGTTTAACAAAATAAATGATTTTCTTGTAGTTAGCAGGCATGTTGGGTCTAAACACATTATTCATATGCATATACCTATATCCAGAGTCGTAAATTGTATACTTATACAATCATAATAATAAATCATATGCATAGACTTAAAGCCTTATACAGTACTTTACTTTTTACCTAGGTGTGAATTATTGTGTTATGTGGACTATGGCGACGGGGTTACGGGTGGTGCATTTAAGCATTTAAGTATCTACAACTATTTTGATGTCAAGATTATTTGATATCAATTCATTCCTCAGCATATATTGTGATCAGGTGATGAAGTGGTCTTCAGTGGTCTAAAGTAAGCAATAGTCTTGTTGTACCGGATTGTTACAATGATTCCTGAAACAGGAACCATTCCTCAAAGTCAATTCGTAAATATCATAACAAAATGAGCTGCTCAGAAATCTATACCCCTTGCATTTGTTTGACTTCACTTCTTAAAAGAGGGCTTCGTCTTCACTCTTTCAAATTAAAATAAACCTGTGAACTCACCGCGCCAATCAGTGTTCGTCGGCCAAATTTGACCGACGTTCTATATATGGTCATTCCCTTTGACGTCATCGTTGAGACAAGAATTGACCAATGACATGCGCATATTTAATTAGAACGCATTTGGCGTATGTTTCTTCGAGCTCGCTAAAGCTACGTTCACACCAATGGCGCTTTCATGGCGCTTTAAAGCGGCTTGTAAAGCGGCACCAAAGCGTAACAAAGCTTGATTTAATCGTCGGGGTCGTAATAGGTCGTAGAAAAGCTAGGAGTAAAGCGGGATATTCGGCAAGAGCGCTAAAAATTTAAACTGTTTAAGCTACGTTCGCACCAACGGCGCTTTGATGGAGCTTTAAAGCGGCTTGTAAAGCGGCACCAAAGCGTAACAACGCTTGATTAAAGCGGTGGGGTCGTAATAGGTCGTAGAAAAGTTCGGAGTAAAGCGGGATATTCGGCAAGAGCGCTAAAAATTTAAACTGTTTAAAAATTTTGGGCGCTCTGATACGAATTGATCGCCGAGAGCGTATCAAAGCTTAACAATATTTAAAATACTTAAAAAATATTTTTAGTGTAAATAGTAATTACTCCAGAAACAAACTGAATGAATATTTACATGGAGTAGTGTTGCCCTCTTTAAATGAAGAGGAAATGCAATCTTGTGAAGGACAAATAACTTTAGCTGAATGTACTCAAGCACTCAAAAATATGTCAAATACTTCAAGTCCAGGCCTTGATGGACTCATTACATGTTTTTATAAATGTTTTTGGAACAAGATAAATGAACT